GTTTTGGACGTCCTTCGTCGCGGCGCTGTGACGTATGCGGCCGACAAATTCGACCTTCGGAGGACCCGTCCTGCTGTTTTGGACACAGCAAGCGTTTGCAATTGTCTCAGGATGATGATGTCATAACATGAGCTGAGCACCAACAGCAAAGCCTGTGTTCCATTCCAAAACACCTAAATGTGAATTTCAACATTTAAGGTTTAAATTTTACATTTAGAATTAAAGATTTAGATTTAGGATTTAATATTTAAACATATTTTTTAACAATTAAATTTAACATTTAGTAAAAAATTAGTCAAATGTAAGAACAGTGAGCTACGTAAATAACATGTTAGTGGAACATTTTAACACTCAGAAAGAGGTTCAAATAATGAAAGGTATGTTAGTGATTTTTTATTTTTAACATTTCATTTTACACTTGGTGTCCCGTACAAAACAAGATCATAAAGATTTTTTGGCTTGATACAAGATTTTAAACCTGGTTAGCTGGACTAATTCCTTATAATTTGAGTGGGGTGGTCTCAAATCGGCGCACTCTGTTTCAGGTTGGTGGTTTGARGCCTGCGGCTTCTCCAACCTAAACGGGATCTACTACACGGTCGGCCACAACATCAGGAAGCTGAACGGCATCAAGTGGCACCACTTCAGAGGCCCCAGCTACTCGCTGCACTCCACCTCCATGATGGTCCGACCGTACGACTTCTAACAGCCCCTCCGACAAGCCTTCAGCACGTCTTCTGCAGAAATAACTTCCTGATTCCCTCCGGGGGAGACACTCTGTGGATGCAACGTGGTGCAGAACTCAGTATGAACCATGAGCACCACGTGGCTCCATCATCATCATCATCATCATCATCATCAAAGTCTTGCATTCGTATCAAGAACTTTGAAGAATCGAGTTAATTATTTAGATTTCACAATAACTGTTTATTTTTTTAGACCGTGTCGTTCGTCTTTGTACTCGTTATAAAAAAAAGAAAACAAATAAATTAAAAACAAAGTGTTCCTTGAAGGAGTGCACGTCACACGCTGTCTTTCATGGGTTTTACTTTAAGATAATCTGAAAGTATTTTGGTCCAACCTTACGTGCACTCAGACGTGGCCCTCGGTGCATGCGTTGTGCATGACTTTCAGCTACTACCACACCAKATTTAAGCTCAGTATCTGCAAAACGTACTGAGTTTTAGTCCTTTTCATGCAGGCTAARGTTAAACCGGACTGGAAAGTTCATCCAYTGATGACCTCCTGAGAGTTTCAGAAAAAATAAATAAAAATCTGTCCACTTACACACACATGCACACGCACACACGCCTCAATAAAAGGYTTTTGTGGGGGAAAACAGGGTCAGAAGTTTGTGTTTACTGGTGCTTTCCTTCTTAATTTCAGAGAAAGTCTTCTGGTGAAAATTTATGAGCTCCATTAACCGAAGCAAAGCACTTCCTGAGCGCATTTGTCTGAAGGATTCCAGTGACAGAAGGTTTATTTTCTATACCGAGAGGTCGGAAATGTGGAAGGAAGGACACAAACCTCTTAAAAATAATCCTTAAGTTTTTTTAAAAAAATTGCCTCTAAAGAGCAGCGGGAAGGAAGGCAGAGTTAAATACTGGAAGATGATGTCAAGATGTTGGTAAAAAGGTTTTTTTTTTTGTAATAATGAAGATGTGGGTGTTTATTTTACCAGGTTGGAAGTGTTTTTTGAATGAAAATAGTTTATTTAAAACTAAAATGAAAGAATGCATATTGCCCGCCGCATTTCAAGGCAACATTTGAAACTAAAATCAGAAAAGCGAAATGTTCGTGAGGCAAACATTTTGTTTTAAAGTTTCATTTATTGGCACCAAAGACTGGGAGGAAAACGTGCTCAAAGAGGCAGGAGGTGAAGCCAAACAAAACACACGTTCATCCATCAGGAGGAGAGAGAAAAGGATCCAGATCAGCGTCGTGACAAGACGAGGCCACGTGGACTCCATCAGGCCTGATGTTGGAACACCAGCAGATGATCCACAGCCTGAGGAAGTGATGGGCTCTCTCAGGTCTGGATCTGTTGCAGAGAGGGGGCCTGCTGGCTCTGGACAAGGAGCCAAATTTAAAAAAAAAAATCCTCATGTGCAGCGAGACTAAACACYGAGTCCATTTGACTCAGAAGAACCAGTTGTGTTTGGTTTCTGAGGTGCAAAAACACACAAATGGACAAAGAAATCAGTGCGTCTGAGTCCTGCATGCAGAGCAGGAAACAACTGACAGAATCACTGAGAGGAAAGTGAAAGTGAGGAATAATTAAAGGGCGTGCAAACTTAAGACTTTCAGCTGTAATGATGGTTTTCATGCAAACTGGATTTTTACTGTACTTTGTGACTGATTGCATTTTTGTGTGGCAACACTGATGGAAGAAAGGAAATGATTAAAGAAACAAATAAATTGGACAGGAAGGATATTAGCAAACAAAAGCCAAGTCGATCCTTTTTCTTCACTTGTTTTATGTTTTGGACAATGATAGAAAAAAACAAAACAAACTACACATGTTGTGATTTAATGAAGCCCAGAAACCGAAGCAAATAAATGCTGCTTTGATTATTTTCTTAATCCAAACAATCTGTGGGATTTTCTTGCTTCGTCTTGGACTTGTGTTGAAAATCGATGGCGCTCATTCAAAAAAAGAAATTAAAGAACATATTTATTTTATTCAGAGCATTCGTTTCCTGACATTTCCTCTTGAGATGTTTTCTTTTTATTGCTCTCATCATGCGGCCTGAGCTTCAGTTTGGGATTTTAAAAAAGTGGGACAATGATTTACTGAAGCTATTTCCTGCTAATATTCCTTCTTTATAATTTAATTTATTTTATTTTTAAAACTCAATTTTGTGGGAAAAGTGTTTTACAGAAACGCACCCAGTTTAATCTGATAAATAACAGCTTGTATTAAATCACCCCTTTGATGCAGCCGGAGCAAGCACAAGGTGATGGTGACAGTGGAGAGGAACGACMGTTTTACCAGGAATTAACCTGCAGCAGAACCACGAGGGTTTTATCTACTGCTGAGGAGGAACAGGACTAAAAACAGACKCAAACATAAAAGTTTAAAGCCAGGGGGAAAAACACAGCAAAGTTAGGATTGAGAACCCRGGTGACTGAACTACTTTTGGTGCCTTTTCGACATTATTTATTGTAGAAACACAGAGTTGAGCTCAGKTTTAATGTAAGATAAAGTCTGAAGCACATATAATATAAGAATGTTTCATCACAGTTTTTTAAATTAGCCATTGGTGGCTCCGAATAGTTTAATAAAGTGTGTTTTTTAAATAGTTTTCGGAGAGAAACTGTTAATTTAAGAGGGTAACAGCAGCAGAGTTATGAAATGATGGCAGTTTATTGTCCAGCAGTAGGCCCTAAAAAGAAATATTTCACTTTGATTTGGTATTATCTTCTAAATAGAGACATCTGTAAACCTGTTGACAGCACATGACCAACTGCAGACATGGCCTATATTTTATCTTTACCGCTGTAGCTCCGCCGAGAGGAATCGTCTTCCAGTCGAATTCCTGGAGATTCAGATTTTTGCTGCTCAGGGTCAAAATGTTTCCTGGCAAGATGCTAAACTCTTTGTATTTGTARGATTTCTTTCATTGTTTTGCGCTCATAAATTACACCAAACAGGAGACAAAAGGAGGAAAACTGAAGTGTGTGCCTTTATTTTTACTGTTTGTTGCCATCAGCTGTGTTTTAATCATTTAATGTAGCTTTAAGTTACAAACAGACGTTATCAGTTTTCTTTTTTATGAAAAACTTATTTTAAATCTGCGTATATGTGCAGCAACACTTAATGTAAGCAGCATCTTGTAGAGAAAACAAAACATGAAAAGTCATGTTTCATGTTTCAATAAAACATGTATTACTGGATTCCTGCTATTCCCAGCTGAGTCTTTAATAGTGTTCCAAGCTGGTCTGTTTTATTTGCCAACACATTTCCCATGACAAATYTGGAGGATGTTGTGTTGTATAACTCGCTTCGGTTCTTCATTAACTTCATTTGGAGACTCGTTCTCTAAAGTTCCGAAAAGCTAAAATCATTAAGCTGATTAACATTTACAAACAAGACAATGAAAAAACGAATATTTGAGTGAAAACTTACTAATTCTTTTCTGATATAGCAACTCTCCATGTAATAAAATGATGAATGCATTCATACCATTAACTAATTGATTATTTTTATGTATTAATGTTTTAATAGAAAATCAGTTATAATTAATCAGTATTTTATGATCAACTTAGGCCAATAAATTAACACTTATTAAGCATGTGGCTCTACTGCCCTCTTGTGGCCAAAATGGGATGTTACAAAAATAAAATTTTAAACGAAGCATCAGTTTTATTTTACAGTCACGACTTTTTAAATAATGTTAAAAACCATCAGAAATGATTGAGATTAGGATGAGAGATACAATAAACATATTTTTAAAACGCCATAAGACACTATCGTGTCAAACATTTATGTATGTGATATTATTTGTTTATTTTTTTTAATTGAATGAACGAAATACAGTACTCACAATGGTATTTTCTTTTTCCCCCCTGTTTTTGCTGACCTCAACGATTTTTATGGACGCTGTTTTTTTTTTGTTTTTTTTCTTCAGCGCTTGTTTTTGGCCCTCAGAGCACCAGAAGAAGCGCTTCCGGTAAAACGCAGCAGCGTTGCGAGTGCTAGCAGWTTTTGTGAAGGTCGTCTGCGTTGCTGTGAGTGTCTTTATAGTTATCAGGGATTAAACATTATGTCGCAAATTATGTCTGTATTGTATCCGCTTTTAAAACCAAACATTAAGTCTACATTTTTGCACGACTGACTGAATTTAGCAGCTTTTCTTTCTTATCGCGTTCATTAGCATTTAGCTAATAGTGACCTAGCTAGGTTAGCTCGTGTTTCAATCAACGAGAGCACGTTTTTCTGATCAAACTACTGCTAATATTAGCGATATGTGAAGAAGTTGTATTGCTTACAAAACCGTACGATACATTAGTATTAAAACCGGTTGGTATATTGAATAAAAAGAAAGTTGTATTTGATATTCGCAGTCAGATGGGCTAGCTACTGTTCGTAAACATTTAGCATAGATGTCACCCTGAGACGCCGCTGGTCGGATTTATAAAACTAAACCCTTTTTTTAAACTTTTTGTTTTCACACTGCTGTAGATTTATATAGAACTGTTTAATATGTATTGTCAGTATGGACACTTTTTGTTTTTTTCGTTGAAACCTGACTATATGGTTCAGGTGCTGATGTGAKTGTTCAGCAGTTCATGATGGCGATGTGCCTTAACTGTGACAATACATAACAATTACTTATTTAAAGGCTCTGAATATATATTTTAAATTGTTGTTGATATTTTGAATAATAACTTTAAATCAGCTAATTTTATCTGATACACATCTGGTCTGCACTTTTCATTTGTTTTGTGTATCAGTAAGCTAATGTATATAGAACATTTTTTGCAAACTTAATCAGTCTTAGAACCCAAGACAAGATGTATATTATATTATTCATAACTCCAAAGCACAGTTAAATGTGGAAAATTTATTTTTATACTACTTATAATACTGGTTGAGATTATTTAAGGTTATTAATTAGGGTTATGCTTTTTCCTGATATACACATGGGTAGTGGTAAACACATCACTTGTGAGTTCATACGTTGCACAAAAATGCAATGTATTTGCTGATTCCGCTCTTAAATGTAAAGTTATAAAACATTCCAGTGTTGCACATAAATATAAAACAGCAGACTGCGCTCWCAATAAACTAAGATGTGTTTTTGTAAAACAGATAATTTTTGTCGTAACTATATAGATTTTAAAACGTGGGCAGACTATTTTCATATCGGCCCCATGTTTGGAACGTAACCGTTGACTGGGTTAGTTTGACTTTCTAGCATAACTTTATGTTTGTCTTATATTCTCTGTAGGTGATCAACCATGTCACTGCCAAAGCCAGTGATGAGGGGACTGTTGGACAAACGCATGAGGTTTCATGTAGCCGTTGGGGCTGTTCTGTCCATTGCAGCTGTTATTGCCTTCAAGGTGGTTACACGGTTTGACACACCTACACCCTACAGCTCCAACTCATGTGACTGCTTGGAGTCTGCATATCATATCTGTCAGCATCTGCTTCTGTACTGCTCAGACGTAGCTAAAGCCACATTTTAGGCAAAGTTGTTGATGAATAAGAAAAAAAAATCGAAGTGGTAGGACATTAATAGAAAAAAAATGTTAGGTGCTCATATTGATGTCATGAAGGCTGGACAAAAAAAAAATCAGTATTAATGATATGAAATCCTGTATTATTGCTCCAGCACATATTTGGCCTAGAGCCAACATCATGTTTTATAGATATGAAGCTTTGTTTTAGGTTTAAATTGACAAAAATCTGAGAAATCGTCTGCTTTTTTACAGTACGGAGTGGTAGAACGTAGGAAGAAAGCCTATGCTGACTTCTACAAAAACTACGACCTTGAAAAAGAGTTCAACGCCATGAGGGAAGCAGGTGTCTTTGAGAGTGTGCGGCCTTCTGGGGAGTAAAGCTGCTGTAAGTGATTCAGTAGGTCACCACATATTACAGTTTCTATTTTARTGTGAGCACATTTGACATCGTCTTAAAATTAGAGGATGTAAGGACTGAAAGCTGATGATCTGATGGAGACATTCTCTTCCCGTAGCTCTGCTGTCCTGTCATTCATTCCTGGTTTGAAGATGTGTCCCCTTTGATGGGTCAGATGTGAACATTGTTCTTCTGTTTGTTCCCCTTAAATAAAATATTCTATTGATGATTCCTGTTGTCTCTGTGTTGTTTGTAAAAAATGTTTTATATCACATCATGATGCCAAGATAATGCACAAGTAAACATAGGAAATGTCTGTTGAAATGAAGGTCTAACAAATCATGTCTATATGTTTTATCGTATTTAGTGTTTTTTTTTTATTAAATATGTTTTGATTGATCATATTGAAATAAATTAAAACTGGATGTGATATTCTTAGATCAGCAATGTGCACAAAAAATCAGGAGGGGTGTACATAAGTTTTATCTTTTAACAGGTTTACAATATACGTACAATTTTACTTTATATTCAGTTCAACGTAAGACATTTCAGGAATTTTCTCTGGCTGGGTCAAAAGAAATGTGAAACTGGATGGCGTGTTTTAAGTGAAGGGGAAATAAAAGTATGAGAACTATAATGTTCAAACATGAAATATAGAATCAAAAAGGATTTTTTATTTTATTGTAGGTATTTATTATATCTTTAGTAATTGTACATGCTAAGTGTTAAAACTGCAAAATAGAAAAGAACTAAAATAAAACTTTTTTTTTTTTTTTACATTGTGTGGAAGTAGCGCCCCCTGCTGCTCGTTCCACGCGCTGCACGCTTTGTTCGCGCCGCCTTCCTGCCCGCCCCTCACTACGCTTCCTGGTTCTCAGGTGGACGTCAAAGCGGCTGCCAAAAACCTCTGTCAAACAAGTCGAAAGTTGTCTGGACACGGGAGGGAAATATGTACCTGGCGGCGAGGACACCGTCAGCCTTTCCACGAAGCGACTGTTGTTTTGCGGCATGGTAAACGAACGCGACTTTTACGGCTACCGAACGGCAGCAGTGGTTATCGTCAGCCGGGACGCTGCTGTGGAAGTGAGCGGGTTAGCTGCCCGCGGCTAACCCGTTAGCGAGCTAGCCCGACGGAGCTAACTGCTAGCTTCGACTTGACGCTGAGCAGCTCGGTTCAAGTTTTGAGTCCCGACCCGATTCAGAAGAGTTCCGAGTGAGCTGAGGGGGACAACATGGAGAAGGTACAGATGAGGAACAACCCTCGCAGGTAAGGAAAGCACGGTTTAAACACATTATGATATAATGGATTTTTTAATCTAACGCTAGCCTGGMATTATGTTGAAATTTGTTGGTAGGCTAAATATTTCCAAATATCCAGAGTTATAGATAGTTTTATAGTTTGTAAGACATATTGCATAACTTAGTTTGAAACACTGCAAGATCAATAATTGTGAAACTGAAATAATGAGGCAGTTTTTAACATTGTCACAACTGACTCATCTGTACAATCCCAGGTTTTATACTTGATTCTCAGCCTCTCACTGCAAATTAGTTATTCATTAGAGAAGAACCCGTCCAGAAGACCTATACAATATTTTTCTTTTTGATTTTTTACCTGGATTACTGAGATGTATCAGGACATCTCACTGTAAGGTTTTCTTGGAAGCCATAAACCAGTTTCTGTTGAATTTCTGTAAATTATAACCTATTTTAACCATGGTCTGCAGTGGAACATAATGTATTATTAGCTAACCAGCTGATTAGTTAATTTTTTACTCTGCAGAGCATCACACATTTGGGGAAAAATGTTTGCAAAAGCAGTAAAAATTGTGTGTTTTCCCTCTTGCAGTGCATGGCAGCTGCGGATTTTCTCCTCTCATTGAATTAGCTGTTTAATCTTAATTTTAATCTCAGGGCTTTTCTCTATCAAAGACTTGCAGATCTGATTTAATGCCTAAAGTCTGCCTATAGCTCTTTTCTTAGCTGCTTTAATCTAGAGTGGTTTAAGAAAACCAGCTCAGAGCACAGTTATTTAGTKATTTTTAGATCTGTATCTCGGCCTGTGAGGTTTAACTGGTGCACATGGGACTAAAGAAACCACAGAACTGGTTTTATGGCAGAAAAACTGAAACAACACCTGTGTTTGGAAAAAAAAAAAGTTGATCTGCAAGTTAAAATGTAAATGGAAACTTCATTCAAAGGAAGTTTATTCTTACACTTTACATAAACTACTGTGCATGACATTCAACTATTTTTAATTTTACTAATTTTAATGAATACATTTTGTTGGAATGACTTGTTTATGCAAAGAAAGGCATTCAACATGTAACCTTGCTCTTATGTTAAGGTTATTAATGTTTGATTTCTAAAATAGGAACTAGTTTTTAGCTCACTGTTGTCACTATATCTGACAGTAGGAACTGAAGAGTTCCTATTTGTCCACTTATCAGGACGATACCAGTAAGAAACAAAATAATGCTCCCTTTCTTATCAGGTTTGCTCAGCCTCAGCTGTTTCCTCATCCATTTGAGTGAGTGCTGTTTGGAACTAGCGAAAAGTGACAAATACACMTTTTAGGATACTTATGTAGATGTTTGTCAGGTTTACAAAAGAGCAAAAAGCCTCTGTGGCTTAATGATATTTTTGTTGACACTTTTATATTATTTTGTTCATATTTTTAAACCTTTACTTTGGTTATGTTGTGAAGTACGACAGTAAAAATACGCTAAAAGCTGCAGTCGAAGCTGCATGGCAGTGTGTTGCTCCATGTTTTTAGTAATAAAGTAGATATATTTAAAAAAGAAAGGCAGAGATCACGAGGTCCACTTGAAAYGCAGAAAGGCTCCTGTGGAAGATGAGCGTTTCAAGGCTCCCGTCTGACTTTTGTRGTTTTTGGCTCGACGTGGATGCTCTGAGCAGTTTGGCTTTTGGCAGCAYTGGGTAGTACAAATCTATGAAGTGTTGTAGAGAGGTATGGCAGAAAACCACAGTCTTACTGAGAAACCATCTGTTTTTAGCTGCCGTTTGACAGCAGAGTTGAAAAAGGTCATATTTATTTATCAGTCCAGTTGATGGTGGAGGAGCTACTCTGTAATATATATATATATAAAAAGACACAAGTCGAGTTTTTTTTTGGAGGTAGACAAAAACATGAAATTGTTCATGACTACATTATTAAAGATGAAGATGCAGCAGGTGCTACTCGCTCCATCTTCATCCAGCTACAGTTCCTCCTCAGCGAGGGGGATCCCAGGCCAGAGGGGTTWTATAATCCCTGTAATCCCTCCATGAGTTCTGGGTCTGCCCCYGMGTTTCCTCCAAYTGACCCGGAAAACCCCACAAACTGAGACATCCAGCCTGAAAGCTGATTTGTATGTAAAGTATGCTACTAAATATTCAGTTTTCAGTAAACACACACATAATCACAAAACTCTCTAATAAAGTGTTTGGACTGAATAGTTAAAGTGTTTGTAATTAGTGCTAAARGCAGCAGCGACGGATGAGTTCAGTTTTCCTGATGGTGGTCAGACCCACCCACCCACGTTCCCAGTTTTGTCTCTGACCTGATTGGATATTTCCTTCCTGCAGTACCTTCACTGCTTTGTCACAGTCTGCATCTGGGTCTTGTTTTGATCTATTTTTGTCCARAAAACTGAAAGCTATTTTTAGTTTAACGGCTTCAAACACAGGTTTTAAAGTTGTGATGTTTCAGAGGGGTGATCAGCCGAGACGAAGGTTTTGATTTCTTCAGTCGATGCATCTTTGTCCACACTTAAAATGGCTTTTTGAGCTTAAGAGTCAGTGTTTAGTTGATCTTTTATATATTGAGGACTCATAAATGAAAACATGAATAAATACAGAGCAATGAAACATGAATTAATAATTTGCCTTTAAGCTTTTAGGTTTTATTGTCTTGCACTTTCACTTATTTAAGACTGATAAATTATTGAAACTCTCTGTTCCACAGAGTAATGAATATGGATGTGTGCATTTCTTGTCAGGTTTGAGGAAAACAAGGTTTTTAACAGTGTTGTTCATTTAAAATAATAAAGAAAAACAAGATGAAATGGTCATTTGGTTGATTAGAGTTTATTTTTATGACGGAAAATGAATCGGTAATTAAGAAATAATTTTAAAAATAGCTTTCAAATACAAACTGTTATCTTTTGTTTGTTTTTATTTTTGTCTTTGAGAAAAAAAGTGGATTTGTTGGATTATATCTTTTCAATTGTCCATTTTCAGATTGAGGACAATTTTTTTATTTATTTCAAACTTTATTCATTTCCTAAAAACAAAATTGTATTTACAATAAAATAATTTACAATGAAATGAAATGAAAGGCAGCAGAGAGAAGAAAAAAAATCTTATATCTGCCTAATAGTAATTTTCAGTTAACAAAACAAAAACCTTTTTAAAAACTGTTTCATATTTTTTCAACAATCCAACCTTTATRGTTCTRTTAAACATGTACAGTGATTTGGCATTTTCAACATCAGTTTCCAGATCTTTCCACAGTCTGACTCCTTGGATTGAATTAGGACAAATGAAGGTGRTTTTGGAAAATTGAATAATCTATAAATATCCTGCGGTTTCAGCCCTGCTCAGTTGTCGTTTAACTTTGTAAATCAGTCATTTGCCTCCAACATGTCTCCATCAGCCTCTCTCTGTGTTTTATCATCAGGCAGCTGAAGAAGCTGAGCGAGGACAGTCTCACCAAGCAGCCGGAGGAAGTCTTTGATGTCCTGGAGAAGCTGGGTGAAGGGTGAGTAATTCAGAGAGACAAAAAGCGACCTAACGCACAGTCCTGACAGGAGGATTTTAAAGTGCTGAGTGTCGGCTGTAATCCTCTTTAGTTTCTCTTTCATATTTTCTCTGCTGCTCCGTCTACGTTTCTGCCTCGTCTCTTCCTCCTGGTTTGTCACTGGGCACCTCCTTTCTGTTGCCTGTCTGCATAAACATTGCCTCTTCATATCCTGTTTCTCAACGCTCTTCCTGTTCTCAGCAGCTGATTGACGCTGTGCGTGTGTGCACCGTGTCTGATCTCATGTATTCACCAACCAGCACGACAGAAATTAACAGTTTGTCTAATTTTGGCTGCGTTTAGTTTCCACATAAACCAGTTATTAACAGCTTAGACCACACTGCCTGTATTTATGTAATGTTTTTATTTAGGAGCATTTTCATTGAAGTGTGAAACTTTGGCTTTAAATAAAAACACTAGTTCTTTTAGTACACTGAATACAGTGGGTACAATGTAAAACTTGTACCTGTCTATTTGAGTATTTACTCCAGACTCTTGAAAGTTATTGAACTTTTAGTTGAATCTCACTAACTTGTAGYGGTGCAATGATACTGAAAATTCACTYTTCGGTTCGGTTACTCGGATATTTCCGTTACTTCGGATACTTTTTCGATACAAAAAAAGAGACATTTCCATGTCCTTTTAAACTAGTAATMTATTGAAATTAATTATGAACATTTGTTTAACCTCAAAAGTACAGTTTTTAAATTAAATGTTGCTGAAACAGCAAGTTTCTCAGTGGATCTGTGATGGAAAATGCAGCCTAGGTGGAGTAGTC